AGTGATGAAGAATTGGTTGTGTGCCCAGTGCCCTTGCCCCCCTCAGCCCCAGCACGCCACCCGTTCTTGCACTGCCGTTGGCTCACGCGTGGCTCATTGGACCCACTCGGTCACGTGTCATGAGCCATATGGGGTGTGCTCGAAGTGTGGCTGCAGGGCTAGGGACAAAGTTGGCCATATACGGGACTTGGGTGCACAGTGTAAGTGTGCGAGGGGCGAGCCCCCCACAAAGATGGGCAAGTGGGTCCTCCAACGGCTCTCCGAGGGCAGGCCTCTTACGTCAGCCTTTTTTCTAGAGGCGTTCTCGACCGCGTCGGCTTGGGGTAATCCTTAGGTAATCCTCCTCCTCCTCCTCGTCTTTTCCCGTCCTCCTCGCTCTCGTCGTCGTCTCCCTCCTCCTCGGAAGAGGAGGAGGGGGCCGAGCAGGAGGAGGACGAGGAGGAGGAAGTGTGCAAGGAGGAGCAGAAGCAGGAGGACATCGAGCTCCTCCTCTTGCGCCTGCTGCTGCTGCTGTTGCTGCTCCTCCTCCTATTCCTCCTCCTCCTCTTCCTCCTCCTCATCCTCCTCCTCCTCTTCCTCCTCCTCGTTCTCGTCCTCTTCCTCGTATTGTTTCTGGTTCTCCTCCCCGTTGTTCTTCTCCTCGTTGTCCTCCTCCTCCCCTTCCCCTTCCCCATCGTTACCCCGTTCCTTCTCCTCCTCCTCCTCCTCCTCTTCCTCCTCCTCCTCCTCCTCCTCCTCCTCCTCCTCCTCCTCCTCCTCCTCCTCCGTGTGTGGGACTCTGTGAGGCCGCGCGGCAGAAAAGGCGCCGCTGCGCCCCGACGACTCTGGTCTCCCTTTGGCCAGCCTTTCTTTGACACCTCACACATACACCGCACTCACATCTATACCCCTGGGTGGGTGTATGTGCGGCCGTTTTTGCGCTGTCATGTGCGCGCATGTGCGCGGCATGTGCCAGTCATGTGCCAGGCCTGTGCGGTCCTTCTTGGATGAACTTCCTACTGTGCACGTCGTGCCCGGGCATGTGCGGGGGCATGTGCGCTGTGTTTTGATGTATCCATCATACGCACATGCACGCACAGTCCGACGCACATGCGCGCACATGCCTGCACATGCGGGAGGTGTTCGAGAATCGCAGATCTGTCATCGGCACATGCACGCACATGCCTGGCAACCTCTCTTCGGGAGGCCGCGCGGGCCCGCACATGCACGCACATGCGGTGAAGCGCGCGGGCGCACATGCGTGCACATCCCAATGCACATGCACGCTCATGCCCTAGGAGCTGTCTGGGACCCCTGTGCCTCCAATGCCTCCTGGCCTTCGCAGAGCTAACCTGGGGCGTGCCAGGGTTTCCCGAAAGAGTTTGTTGTGCGTTTAGACTCGCCCGCTGCTGGCGGGGGCGGTTATTTGCCCGGTTCGTGAGCTGGCGGTGGCGCGCCCGCCTAATAAAATACTCTCCCGCGCGCCTTCTCAGCTCGGCCGGAGAAGCAGGGATGGGGGGGGGGAGGTGGAGGGGGGGGGAGGAGGGGGGGGCGGAGGAGGCGGGCGCCCCCGGCCACTGGCCAGCCTGCCTGTTCGGCTCGGCCAGGAGGAGAGGAGGAGGAGGAGGAGGAGGAGGAGGAGGAGGAGGAGGAGGTGAGAGTTGCGAGGCTGTCTCAGGCGAAAGTGGCTTGACGGCCCGAGCTCAGGGAATCTCGGAATCGCTGGCCTGGCTCGGCCACCGGCGAGCTCGGCCTGTGCGAATACTGTGCGTACCTGTGCAGTGCATGTGCGGGACGTGCAAGAATGCCGGGGCCGGCGTTCGTCTCCGGACGCCGGCGCGTTCGCGTCCGGCCAGTTCCGCGTGAGACGTCGTCGGCAATTTGGAGGCCGACGTGCTTTGAAGTGATCTGGCCACCTTCGCCTGAGACATCCTCACAACTCTGGTCTCGGAGATGCCCTGCCCCATGGTGGCCCGGCCACTTTCGCTTGAGACATCCTCGGGACTCTGGGTTTCGAGACGCCCTGAGCTGAGGTGGTTAGACCACTTTCGCATGAGACATCCTCGCAACTCTGACCTCAGAGATCTCCTGCCCCATGCTGGTCAGGCCACGGTCGCCTGAGACATCCTCGCAAGTCTCGATTCCGATATGCCCCGAGCTGAGGTGGTCAGCCACTGTCGCCTGAGACATCCTCGCAACCCTGATCTCAATGATGCCCTGCTCGATAGTGTCTCGGCCCCTTTCGCCTGAGACATCCTCGGAACTCAGGGTTCCGAGACGCCCTGAGTTGAGGTGGTTAGACCATTTTCGCTTTAGACATCCTCGTCCGAGATGCCCTGAGTTGAGCTGTTCAGGCCACTTTTGCCTGAGACATCCTCGCAACTCTGACCTCAATGATGCCCTGCTCCATAGTGTCTCGGCCTTTTTCGCCTGAGACCCTCGCAACTCTGGGTTCTGAGATGCCCTGAGCAGGTGGTCAGGCCAGTCCTGCCTGAGACATCCTCGCAACTCTGGGCTCCGAGATGCCCTGGGCTGAGGTGGTCAGACCACTCTCCCCAGAGACATCCTCGCAACTCTGACCTCAGAGATCTCCTGCCCCATGGTGGTCAGGCCACTTTCGCTTGAGACATCCTCACAACTCAGACCTCGGAGGTGTCCTGCCCCATGGTCGTCTGGTCACCTTGACCAGCGACATCCTCGCCACTCTGGTTTCCAAGATGCCCTGCCCCATGGTGATCCGGCCACGCTTGCCTGAGACATCCTCGGAACTCTGGGTTGCGAAATGCCCCGAGCTCAGGTGGTCAGGCCACTATCGCCTGCGACATCTCTGCGGCATGTGCGGGCATGTGCGTCTATGCTTTCAGAGTTTTGCTTGACCGTGCATTCGACTGTGCGTCGGACGGTGTGGCATGTGCGCGCATGTGCGGCAATGCTGTTGAGGCTTTTGTATATTTGCATGGGCATGTGCATGCGACTGTGCGGCATGTGCCTGCATGTGCGGCCCCTTCCGGACCACAATTTCAATGTGAGCACTATAGAAGTGAGGGCTATAGAAGTGAGTCCGGTGTAGGGTGATTTTGGAAACGAGCGTCGAAGATACTGATGCAGATTCCGACGATGATGATGACGATGGCGATGATGATGATGTTGATGATGATGATGATCATGATCATGATCATGATCATGATCATCATGATGATCATGATGATGGTGGTGATGATGATGACTATGATGATGGTGATGGTGATTGTGATGGTGGTGGTGATGGTGATGGTCATGGTCATGGAGATGATGATGGTGATTGTGATGATGATGGTGATGATGATGCTGCTGATGTTGATGCTAATGATGGTGGTGATGCTGATGGTGATGATGATGGGTGATGATGCTCATGCGTATGATGTCTGGTGATGATGATGACGATGATGATGGTGATGGTGCTGGTGATGGTGGTGGCGATGATGATGGTGATGATGGAAAGAGCGTGTTCTACCGCTGCTGGCGGGAAACTGGGGGGGGTCACTACCGGTTCGAACCCCTCTCCCCCCCCCCCTCCGGAAAACCGGGGGGGGTCACTACCGGTTCGAACCCCTCCCCCCCCCCCCCAGTTCATCATGAAAAGGGGGGGGGTCACTACCGGTTCGAACCCCCCCCCCCTCGAAAACCGGGGGGGTTCACTACCGGTTCGAACCCCCCCCCCCTTCGAAAACCGAGGGGGGGTGCGGACAGTGGTGGGGACGGTGGTGGTGAGGACAGTGGTGAGGGGACAGCGGGACAGTGGTGGGGACAGTGGGACAGTGGTGGGGATGGTAGTGGTGGGGACAGTGGTGAGGACAATGGTGGGAACAGTGGGGACAGTGGACAGTGGTGGGGACGGTGGTGGTGGGGACAGCGGTGTGGGGACAGTGGGAATGAGGTGGAAACAGTGGGACAGTGGAGGGTACAGTGGTGGTGGGGACAGTGGTGAAGGCGGTGGCGAGGACGGCGGTGGGACAATGGGACAGAGGTACAGTGGGGACAGTGGTGGGGACAGTGGGGACAGTGGTGGGAGTGGGGACAGTGGGACAGCTCAGTGGGACAGCGGAGGAGTCAGTGGGACAGTGGGGACAGTGGGGATAGTCGGGCAGTGGTTGGGGACGTGGAGAAAGTGGGGAGAGTGGAACCGTGGTGGGAACAGTGGTGGGGACAGTGGGGACAGTGCGACAGTGGTGGGGGCACTGGTGGGGACAGTAGGGACGGTGGTGGAACCAGCGGGGACAGTGGTGGTGAGGACAGTGGTGCTGGGAACAACAGTGGGGGATGTGATGCGGACGGTGGTAGGGACCGGGAGTCGTTTGCTGGCGGTGAGTGGGGGAGTGGGGAGGGGTTCGAACCGGTAGTGACCCCCCCTCCGGTTTTCGAGGGGGGGGGGGTTCGAACCGGTAGTGACCCCCCCGGTTTTCGGGGGAGGGGGGGGGGGGGGGGGGGGTAGGGGGGAGGGGGGGGGGGGGGGTCCGGGGGAGGGGAGGGGGGGGGGAATCCAGCAGGGGAGGGGGGGGGGGATTTCGGAGGGGGGGGGGGGACCCCCGGGTTCTGGAGGAAGAGGGTGGCAATTTTCCACAGTAAAGTGGCAGTGGATCACGCTCTCTCTGATGATGAAGATCACGATCTTGATGGTCATGATCACGATCATGAACATGACAATGCTTGTGGTGGTGGTGGTGCGCCTGTATTAGAGAGGGAAGGGGAAGGGGTTCCTGCACGGGGTGCCTATCGAAAACAAGAAGCTTATTTCGGATGTGTGAAAAACGCCTGAAGACGAGACCCGAGGGGGAAGATTGAAGAGCGTCGCGCGAGACGAGGGGGGGTGGCCATGGGAACAACCAGACATCGTGCTGGATAACAGAAGAGCAACCTAACACGCCATTGTGCAGACACGGTGGCACGCGTAGGCTCAAAGATGTCTACGCGAGCGCTTGCACAGAATGTCTTCGCCATGTCGTCATCGTTCTTGCCACTCCCATCCGCTGCCCTTGCCCGAGGTCTTGGTGACCCTGGGGGTCGGCATGTTGGCAGCCATGATCGGCGGGTGCGTCCTGTGCATGCGCAAGCAGCTGCCCCAGGAACTGCCACGGGACATCTGGAATTGAGCCACACATTCCCCAATCGGTGCTTGCATTGAAGGGGTCCTAGCGAAAATTGAAAGATTTGGCGAAAGCTTACCGCCGATTTTGGTAGCCGGCTGGGTTCCCGGGTTCCCGGTTCCGGGTTCCCAGGTTCTTGGTTTTTGGTTCCGGGCCGATGTCGGTGGGTTTCGGGTTCCCAGGTTTTTGGTCGATCTCTAACCATCCATTGATTGGGGTTTTTCTTTGGTGTAATCGTCTTCTTGTAGGACCGTGTCCCAGCAGAAACAAGCGCTCCCAGAGGGGCCACCTTCTCCCGTCGCCAGATCTGGCGCGGTGCACTTCTTGCGTGCCCGCTCGAGGATGTCGCCCCTATCCCCATCCCCCTTCGGGTGTTGCTAAAAGCACCCCTGGCCCAAGGTACCCCCAGGATTCTCGGGGTGGCCCAGACGGCCTCCAGGGCACCCCTCACGAGGCCCAGAGCGCCCCAGGGGCTCCAAAACGGAGCGAAAAGCTGGGGGCACCTTGGGCCAGGGGCACTTCTAGCAACACCCGACCCCCGCAGTTCGAATGCTGTGCTGGCGTGTCCTCCCCGGCACCCCAGCTCGGCGCAGCGCCTGCGGTCAGAGGCAGCGGGCGGGCCCCACACCGAGCTCGCTTGGCCGCGCCTGGCCAGATCGAGCCCTGACAGGTCCCGGCGATCGCGCCGAACTGCTGGATGGGGTTTCCGGCCAGCCGGCCAGTCCGCAAGGACGGTCGGGCCCCCGGAGACCAGGACACAGATAAACCAGGACTCAAGCAGTGGCGGAGCGTTTTGGCGCGCCTATAGGCCCACCAAACAATGTTCAAAGAACCTTTTGTGGTTTCCACGAAATGTTCTCAGAACATTTCTGGCTGGGACTGTCTTGTTTTAGCACATCGGGCCGCTGTTCTAAGAACATTGTTGTTATTATTCGAACATTTCGGGGTTCTAAGAAAATGTCGTGGTAGGCCTATTGGAATGCCGGGACGGTCGGTCCCTGCTCAAGTCAGACCCCCGGAGACCAGGACACAGATTAACCAGGACACAGAACCCCAAGGAAGCGCCACCCTTTCCTGCTATGATTAAGTCGGGCATGTCCCTCCACAGGAGGAATATTAAAAAATAGTAGTAAATATTATGGGGACGACTTTTTTCCCCAACCAACCTGTGTTGTTGGGTCCTCGTTTTGAAGAGACGGTCCCCGCGTTCCTTCCTCCTTCCTCCTCCTCTCCTTCCTCCTCCCTCCTCCCCCTCCCTTCTGGCACACCCCTCACACGTTTCGTGGCCCCATAGGGAGCTCCACCGAAGGCCCCAGTGGCTGCGCCCGCATGCGGTTCCACCCCCCATTCTGGCACACCCCTCACACGTTTCGTGGCCCCATAGGGAGCTCCACCGAAGGCCCCAGTGGCTGCGCCCGCATGCGGTTCCACCCCCCATTCTGGCACACCCCTCACACGTTTCGTGGCCCCATAGGGAGCTCCACCGAAGGCCCCAGTGGCTGCGCCCGCATGCGGTTCCACCCCCCCATTCTGGCACACCCCTCACACGTTTCGTGGCCCCATAGGGAGCTCCACCGAAGGCCCCAGTGGCTGCGCCCGCATGCGGTTCCACCCCCCATTCTGGCACACCCCTCACACGTTTCGTGGCCCCATAGGGAGCTCCACCGAAGGCCCCAGTGGCTGCGCCCGCATGCGGTTCCACCCCCCATTCTGGCACACCCCTCACACGTTTCGTGGCCCCATAGGGAGCTCCACCGAAGGCCCCAGTGGCTGCGCCCGCATGCGGTTCCACCCCCCATTCTGGCACACCCCTCACACGTTTCGTGGCCCCATAGGGAGCTCCACCGAAGGCCCCAGTGGCTGCGCCCGCATGCGGTTCCACCCCACCATTCTGGCACACCCCTCACACGTTTCGTGGCCCCATAGGGAGCTCCACCGAAGGCCCCAGTGGCTGCGCCCGCATGCGGTTCCACCCCCCATTCTGGCACACCCCTCACACGTTTCGTGGCCCCATAGGGAGCTCCACCGAAGGCCCCAGTGGCTGCGCCCGCATGCGGTTCCACCCCCCATTCTGGCACACCCCTCACACGTTTCGTGGCCCCATAGGGAGCTCCACCGAAGGCCCCAGTGGCTGCGCCCGCATGCGGTTCCACCCCCCATTCTGGCACACCCCTCACACGTTTCGTGGCCCCATAGGGAGCTCCACCGAAGGCCCCAGTGGCTGCGCCCCGCATGGCGTCATTCCACCGAAGGCCCCATTCTGGGGCACCCCTCACACGTTTCGTGGCCCCATAGGGAGCTCCACCGAAGGCCCCAGTGGCTGCGCCCGCATGCGGTTCCACCCCCCATTCTGGCACACCCCTCACACGTTTCGTGGCCCCATAGGGAGCTCCACCGAGCGCCCCAGTGGCTGCGCTCGCATGCGGTTCCACCCCCCCATTCTGGCACACCCCTCACTCGTTTCGTGGCCCGGGGGCACCACCGAAGAATATATCCACCATTGCGGTATTCACAACTACGTATGGTTGGGTCTTTCGTCAGGCTATTTATGTTTGAACTATTTTTCCATTTTTCCCTGAAAATTGGCCTGCAGGGGGACAGGCCCGACCTAAGGCTAAGTCACAGTTTTCAGGCCCCGTGCATTTTCTGCTTGCTGCACTGCAAGGTTCTGGTTTGTGCCCGGGTTTGGAGGGGGTCCTGCAGGCTTGCAGGGCCTGTGCCCGGGCTTCTTCTGGAAGCGCGGCAGTGCGGTAGTTCCTTCGTGCCGCCGTCTAGGAAAAAATTTGTCTCGAGGGATGCTGGGTGTCCAGGTCTAGCGCGTCCAGGCTTACGGGGCCTTGCGACAGCGGAGGGTCGAGAAGCTCGGCCGCGCTCGGGCCCGCCTCACGGGTTCCAGCGGCCGACGGCGCGCCCTCGGCGGCCCGGGCCCGGCCGCACGGGGCCTCGCTGGCCGGAGCACTCCGCTGCTGGGCGGAGCCCGAAGGGAGCCGGCCCGCGGCCCGATGCGCACAGGAGAAGTCGGCGGCGAGCCCGGTGTGAGAAGGGGTGCGGTGCGATGGTGTCATGTGATGGGGGAGCTGGCGGTGTTACGTGTCGCAGATATCGCATCGCCACTTCCACGATTGGCACCGGGGCTTCTCAGAAGCACCCCCGGCCTTCAGGGGCAGACGCAGGACGCTTCCCAGAAGGGCGGAGGGCTTCCGAGGCTTCTGAGAAGGCCCACGCCTTCTCACGCCCTCGCGCGCATGAAAGGGTCAATGAGTGTACGGGCTGGTCCGCCGCAAGCAAAATGTGGATATGTGAGCCGGTTGCGCCCTCTGCACGTGTGGGGTAGATACAAGCGTCTGCTTGCATCGGAGTTCGGGGGGGTGAGATCGGAGCCACACTCGAGGTAACCAGGAATTCGTTTCGTTTCGTGCGCGATGTGCGGGCGAGGCGAACTTGCGCGAGTGTTTGGCCTAGCAGCGGCCAAGTCAGACCGAAATGAATCGCCTCGGGGCCATCGCCCCCGGCTGTCTAGCCAGTTGTCCCGATTACTCAGACAACAAAGAAAACATTCTAGGTAGCGGGACAACAATCAAAACACATGGGTCCCGAAGGCCCGTGATCGGGACAATCGCCAAAACAGATGGATTATTTTCGCCCGTGAGTGTCGATGGATTATTTTCGCCGTTCGTTTTAACATGAGCGACTGTCCCCCGTGGGTGTCGATGGTTGTCCCGATGGTTGTCCTGATTGATGTCACGATGGCTGTCCCGATGGCTGTCTTGATGGTTGTCCCGATAATGATAATAATAAGATCGATATATTTGTCCTCAAACAGTCCTTGCACAAAGGAATTGGAGGGGTGTGTCGCGGCTTCGGCTGGTGAACGGCTGGTGCCGCCTCATTATGTGCGTTGCTTGGGTGTGTCGGGGTTTCGGCTGGTGCCAGCTTGGTGCCGGCTCGTTGCCGCTTCGTTGCCGTCTCATGTGTTGGGTGAGTGTCGGGGTTTCGGTTGTTGCATGTTTGGTGCCGCCTCGTTACCGCCTCCGTGCGCTGGGTGGGTGTGTCGGCTGGTGCCTGGTTTGTGTTGCCTCGTTGCCAACCCGTTGCCGCCTCGTGCGGCAAGCTAGCATACACGACCCTGCTTACACAGCCCAGCTTACACGGCCAGGCTTGCACTAGTTTGCATCGCCCATCCGCTGTGCGTGGCCTGGCACTAAATGGAGCGGTGGCGGCTCGCTGCTGCTAGCACTGGTCTCAGTAGAGGCTCTTTGGTGGGTTACCGCGGGAGCCTGCAAACCGTGCGCCCCTTCGCAGTGAGGCGGGGTGTGTGGTCAGTGTGAAACAGAAACCTATACCGCGTAGTTTTCATTTTGCAGTTCACACCACAGCTTACATTACATGTCTTACACCACATATCTTGCACCACGCAGCTTAGACGACCCAGCTTGCATCATAGCACGCACACCGCATAGCTTACTCCACATAGCGTACACCGCATAGTTTAGGCAGCATTGTTTTCACGTTCAGCCCACACCACACAGTTCTCACTACGTGGATCATTCATGCTTCGCGTATCCTCACCAGCCCGTTCAGAAACCCTGCCCACGAGATTGGACGGGAAGCGGAATGAAGAACACACATGGTGAAACAAGGCAGGCAACCAGGGTGAGCAGAGAGATCTCTGAGAGCAAGGGGGTGGCTTTGGATGGCCTCTTCGGGCCGTCCTTGGAGCCTGCGGGGCGGGAGGGGGCGGCGAGGGGAGGAGAAGGAGCTGGAGGAGCTGGAGGAGGAGGAGGAGGAGCAGGAAGAGGAGGAGGAGGAGGAGGAGGGGGCAAACCGCCTCTTGGGGCCCTCGTGGGACGCTGTTGGGGTGCTCGTGGGCGCTTTGGGGGCAATCTCGGGGCCGTCTTGGACCCTGTTGGAGTTCTCTTGGGGCTCTCTTGGGGCCTTCTTTTGTCCCTGGAAGGCCTCTTGAGGCTATCTTGGAGGCT